GCACAAGGGAGGGCGCTGGAAGTGCGGCGGGAGGGGATGCTGACGAGGCTCCCCGGGAAGCCCGGGAAGGGCTGGCACCGAGCCCGTGCCTTGGTGCCTCCCGACAGCCCCACTCTGGGGTCCCCCCGCTGAGCCCCCAGGAAGCGGAGAAGCCCGTGCCCTGCTCCTGTTGCCGCTCACACTGCACTGACACAGTGTGTCCTCCCTGGAGGACACCACACCTCAGCTGGCACAGGGTGGTCAGGGAGCCAGGGATTTCCCACCTCAGATTAGGACTTTGCTTACAAATGCGCTGATTTAAGTTGCCAAGCTCCAAACAGGTGGGGAGAAGAGACACAAGAATCCATTTCTGAGCAGAAGGGAAACTAACAGTCCCTCGGCTGCAGGGGGACACCAGGGATGGGGCACTGATCAAGCAGGCAAAGCTGCTGCACACCCATCAATTATGCACCCACCGTAAGGGGCCCAGGCCGTATTTTTCTCCTGGTACCTCCCCAAAGCACCAGATCTGGGTCATTAAGGGCACCCGAGAGCCTGAGCCTGCAGCTGCCTCCACTGTCACCTCAGCAAGCAGAGACCCTGCCAGCCCATCCATCCCAGCCCTCCTTATCTTACAGATCTAACACAAGAACAAACACCAGCAGCTTTCCAACTCTGTGCTTGAGTTTCTTGCCAATAAGAACTGTTAGAAAAACAATTGTGCTGTTTCTCTCTTTTCACAGTGCTTTTGGTAAGCATGATAGAACTTGCATTCCCTTGCCATTTACACATTAAATGAAGAGTGGCTCTTCACATTTAAGATGGAATTACAGCTCAGTACTCATTTTAATCTCCACGGTGTAGGGATGGAGTGAAGACTTTGTTAGCAGAATTACTAGAGGTGTTGGCCAAGAAAGTGTCCCTCTCTCCAAAGCTTTTTCAAACTTGCTCTCTCCACTGGCTGCAGTTCTACAGAAGCAGCTCCCTGGACACCACAGGCTTCTCCAGAGCACTCATGACATTGCTGGCCTCAGGTTTTTCAGGACAATAGCTAATTTTGATCAACTCCTTCAGGATTTGGTTTGATTCCAACACAGTGGCTTGTAACTCCAGGAGACCTTCCAGTTCTGAGAGGGTTAAAGATGATTTTATACTCAGAGGACAACATTCAGGACAGACTTAATTACAGGGATGGGGCCCCTCTCTGCAGCCAACAGGGGCTCAAAAAGCTGAGGTGCCTCTCAGTGATTTACACTGGTCCTGTGCATTTTCCTTTACACACCAAATCCAACACAGTCTGAGCATGCAATAACATTTCACAACTTGATTAGCTCAGTTGTATCAACTCCTGCACAGGAGATCAAATTCAAGCAGGCAGGATTTTGTTAGAGGGGGAAAGAGGAGTTCAACAGGGCCAGAAAGCCCAGCAGCCCTCACCCTGCTGCCAGCCGAGCTGGATCACTGGATCTCCTGCAACTACTTTGGAAGCAGTTCCATATTTCAGTGAGTGCCTCTAGAAAAATGATCCTTTAAACTACAGAGAAAAACATCACAGTTATGTATTTATTGGGAAGCATAGTCCTGCAGTCTAAATAAGCCCTCATTGCCAAGATGAGTTTTATTAATGAGTTTAATGAAAGCCTTCCTTTTTTGGCTGTTTTTAAAGCTTAAATTTCTTTGTCCAATTCAGCAATTTGTTGCAATAGTGAAAAACTGATTCTATCACTAGTCTCTGAAAGTCAGAGTTAACAGAGAAGGTCATAGTGGAGGGGGGACATTACCCAATACGGAATGAAAATTAAAACTGCTCTTAACATCTCACAATCTCAGTGCAGTAATGGCTAGAGAAATCTTGCCTCAAAAATGCTCAGACACCATTTTCTTCCCAAGCTTTAAATCCTCTACTACAGTCACCCTCACACAGGCCAGTATGAAATGCTTTCCCTCCCCATATTTTATGATAAGCATTTTTTCAGCAACAGCCACTCCAGGCAGTGCTGGGAGATTGCAAACCTAAGAGGGTGTTAGGGAATCTCAGCCATTTCTCTAAGGGAATGTACTTATGCCCAGAGACATGCCTGCTCTGTCCCATGTCCCCCAGAGCAATCACAGCCCTGGGAAAACCATCTCCACATTCACAGCTTGACATGCATCAGACTGAGCCACCATCTCCTGGAACTCAGGGTCTTCCAACTAGCACTGGCCTGGAAGCCAAGCTGAAAACACTCCTTGGCTCACAGGGAAGAGCTTCTGATCTGAGCACCTGAGTGATGCAAAGCCACCCAGGCATATGTCATGTCCAGTCCTTCCAAGCTGCCAAGAACCCAAAGCTGAACTCACCAGCTGCTACAGCCAATGGAAAATGTACTTACCTTGGTGGTTCAGCACAGCTGTTGCGGGAGCTGGAAAGGAGATACCTCACCCCTCTGAGATAGGTCCCTGTGCTCAGCAGGGCTGGTGGGAGCACAGGAGGGATGGCAGGGGTCCCACACAGCGCTGCACCCGCACACACTGTGGGGCAGCCAAGCACTGCAGGCTTGGAGGAGCCCGGGAGCAGCACTAGGAACCCAGCACGGACCACCCTGGCTGATGCTGTCTTCACCCCCTACTCTGACATGAGACTCCCTCTGACCCCAGCAGCTCCCCAGGCCCTGAGGAGAGCTGTGACCCCCCATCTGTCCCACCACACTCACGTAGCTGCCTGGGGCAGGCTCCAGGGCCCCGTTGGACTCGGGGGCTTTGCCGGCAGCGATGCTCCCGTCCTGCGGCTTCTCCCCCTCCTTCCCGCCGCCGCCCTGGCCCGGCAGGGCCACCTCCCCGACGCCCAGGGCCTCAGCTTTGTACTTCTTCACAAAGTCTTCCATCAGCTGCAGCTCGCCCTCGGCCAGCCCGCGGCACTGCGACGGGTCCTGGTCGTAGAGCGGGAGCTGCCTCAGCAGCTGCCTCCGGCGGTACCGCGCTCCCTCCGTGCCCGCCACCGGCTGCATCTCCTTCGGGATCAGCTCCATGTACTGCATGGCCTGGGACAGAGAGAGCACCCACAGTCACCCCAGGCTGCCTTCAGCAGGGACCACCAGCTGTCTTCGGGAGGGGGCTAAGGAGAGACCACCTCGCTCTCTACGGCTCCCTGAAAGGAAGCCAGAGGGAAGGGGGGGGTCTCTTCTCTAAAGTAACGTGGGATAGAACAAGAGGAAATGGCCTGAACTTGTGCCAGGGGAGGTTTAGATTGGAAATCAGGAACAACATCTTCCCTGAAAGGGCTGTCAGGCCCTGGCCCAGGCTGCCCAGGGCAGTGGTGGAGTCACCATCCCCGGAGGGATTTAAAAGCCATGTAGATGTGGTGCTGAGGGACACAGTTTAGCAGCAGCCTTGGCAGTGCTGGGTTCACAGGTGGACTTGACCATCCAAAAGGTCTTTTCCAACCAAAACGTTTCCGTGATTCTTCACACAGCTGCTCTGCAAGCAGATGCTCTGCTCACAGAATGGAGTGGAGGCAGAAAACATGCCCCTTCCCTTCGGAGCTGTTCTACACTTCAGAACTAAAAGGCTGAACTTACTCAGATACAAGTAGCAGCCAGGCTATTGTAAATCATTTCATCCTCAGAAAACAGGTTGAGTGATTTTGAGGATTTTTTTGGTTTTGTGCTGTTTGGTTTTTTAATTATAAAGATTTCTTCACCAGTTTGCACCCAGATCCCAACACACCCCCCTTCACCAGCACTACCATACTGCTATGCCAGGTATTTTGACCACAAGGTTTCCAAAAAGACCAGAAAAGCAAAAACATCAAAACCCAAGACCTGCCAGCTTCCTCCTGCCTCGTGCCAGGACAGGAAGGGCTCCGGGAACAGGCCAGAGGCTGTGCCAGAAGTAACCCAAAGGCCTCACGGGCTGCACACAGTGTAGATTAAAGTAAAAGATCCCCTCCTATCAATGAAAAATACAACCTTAACACAGGAAAAAGCAATCAGACAGCAGCTGAGTCTGCAGGCAACACTGGCAGCCACCAGCCCTGCCCAACTCTTGATTTTGCAGCAAAAGGAAGGTGTTTGGTCACTGATGCCCTGCAACATGGGGTGTAAGCACCAAGAGATTACCCTAAATAAAGCCTCCTGCTCACGTGGCCACTAGTCCCTGTCACAAAAGCAAAGTAAACTCAGATCTTGTGAGAGGTCTGTCCCATGCTGAAGGAGTGTCTGTGGGATGGTGGGGCTGCAGAGGCAACCGCTGGCCGGGTGCTACGGGAAGGGAGTTTCCCACTCCAGGCATTTTTCCTATTGTAGTGTGAAGAGCAAAGGGGCAGCCAGTTGGCTCCCGGCCATTCCGGTTTAAAGACCAGCATCCAGCTGCATTAGATTTTGTTTCTTACTTGGTCAGCATTTGAAAACTGATTTTTCAGAAAAGCAGAGAAGCCATTAACTGCTTACTGTCCAACCCTTTTAAACACAGAAACGTCTGCAAAACACTGGACCCCTCATCACATCTGTAAAAGCTTCACAGTCAGCTTCCACCTCAGCTACTTTCAGCCAGATTGCAGCATGGCAGGGCAAGATTCCTGCCTGAAATCTGCAGGGTTGCAACAGCCACAGATAAGTTACTTAATGGAGGCAGGGCTTCTTCCCTGTCTCATAGGGTGTTCATTAACATGGCTACACGTTAGGGTGTTGGCCACCACCCCTCAGTACCTCCTGCCTCCCTGCAAAGGGCAGGGCTGACTTCCAGCAGCTCACCCAGGCAGGGCTGTCTCCACGGGAGAAGGTGCTGGTCAGAGCTGCAGGATGCTGCAGCAGTGTCCTGGCTTTCACACAAGTGAGAAATCCTAACAGGAATTACAGAAGCAAGAGACAAGGATTCCCAGACAGCTCCTCTCTGCCCTCACACAGGCACTGCCCCACAACATAAGGATCCTGCTGGGGAAGTCAGACAAGTGGGAAGAGCAGCAACCGAAGCCTCGAGGCTGCACAACCACAGAGGCTCAGACCACATGTGCTGTGCATCCTGGGTCCAGCCACAGCAAGAGCACCAGCAGAGCAGTAACATGGTAGGATCTTAATGGCAGAAATTCTTGATTCACTACAAAGGAGCCAAAGCTCATGAATGCTTATACCAGAGCGACGGGAATAGCACTTCACCAGCATGTGCATCCCAGGCATCTCTTTCCACTCCAGGCTCTCCACTGCCAGCACAAAATGTCTGTGCTGAAAGGGAGAGAGCAGCCAGTCTCCAGCCTCTCACAAGCACAGGCAAACTGGCCAGTGTCAGGCTTCAGCATCTGCCCAGATGTGGTGAATTTTCACTCCCTCATCAAGAAAGGCTTCAAGTTACAGTTGCAGGTATCACAAAAAGTATCCAGATAATAGGTCAGGGATAAAAATTCAACCTGACTCCACAAGCTGAGATGGACGATGGTAAAAAGTTGTTTCTTCCGCTGCTCCTGTGTATTATTACAGTCAAATCCTCTCCTGTGTTGCCTTAGCACAGAAAATTTTGAGGAAGAGCATTTTAAAGTTTTCACTGTTAACTACTGGATTTTGAAGATACTTTATCAGCTGTTCTTTTCACCTTCCCCAAGGACCCTGAACATCTACTTCATAACTTCTCCAGGCACAGCGCAATGAAAACACGCTCTGAACTTGCTCCTGTTATTGGACCATCCACTTCAGGATAACAATACTCAGAAGAAGCCCAAGTTCCCAGCCTGCCTGCAAGAGGAAATCACTACACTAAAAGCATTTTGGCCCCAATCCCTTTTTGAACTGTCCTGAGGAGGGCTGACATGCAGCACTTCTATCCTCGAGGCAAACCTTATCAAGGCTGTCTCCAGCTCCCCTGCATGGTGTTTGTCTTCTGAGGCACCAGGAATTGCCCCCCACGTGGGGGCTGCCCATGCCCACGCTGCACGGACAGGGGCTGCTGCTGGGGTCACCCCAAACATGCACCCACAAGGGGGTCCAGGCCCAGGGCAGGAGGGAGCAGCCCAGGGGCTGAGCCAGCCCTGCTGGGGGTGTCGGCAGCTGCGGGCAGGGGAACCCAGGGCTGCTCAGCCCGGGCCAGGCAGTGTCCTTAACGAGCCCCACCACGGGCACGGTGCCACCATTGTCCTCCCAGCCCTCACCAGCTCCCCAGCCCCTCCAACAGTCGTGTCA